CCTTTTTTGAGCCAAGGTACAGTTTTTCATTGAAAAAATCTCGAGGCCACCATCCAAAAATGTCAAACAAATCTGTATCCGCCTATAGTAACACTATAGTTATTCTTATTTAATTCTTATCTTATCTTAAGTGTCTTGAATAGGAATCAAAAAAACACAAACATTTTTTTTAATTATATTTTATATTTCTTCTTTCAAATTGCACTTAATATGTCCACTTCAATATACAAGTAAGTATTTGATACACTGTTGATTTTTCAGGTTTTCCCACTTGCAAAGCTTGAAGAAGACTGTAATTTTTATCATAGGTACTCTTCAACTGTGAGTGATGGAATCTAAAGCAAAAACAAAAAATCCAGAAAAATACAATGTATGATTTTTAAATAATTAATTTCCATTTTATTGGGTGAAATAAGTATTTGATCATCTATCAACCAGTAACCAGTGAGAGCCAAAATTCTTACTGGTTAATAGATGATCAAATACTTATTTCACCCAATAAAATGGAAATTAATTACTTAAAAATCATACATTGTATTTTTCTGGATTTTTGATTTTTGTTTTAGATTCCATCACTCACAGTTGAAGAGTACCTATGATAAAAATTACAGTCTTCTTCAAGCTTTGCAAGTGGGAAAACCTGAAAAATCAACAGTGTATCAAATACTTGTTCTCCCCACTGTATGTTTTACTTTTAATATATATTTCATATCTTTGTGTATTTTCGATCAATATGTAAATACTTTTGAAAATGTTGTAACAATGTTATATGGAGATGTCGCCGATTGGGTTTTCACAAAATCACGTGATGCCTTTGCTGTGAGTTGTTTACAATTAGTCTGAGTGTGCAAGAGAAAAGGAAAAGGACGGAAGAAAATGGACTTCTAGTAACTCCTAACCTTCTGGTTGGAGGGGCATACGGTACAGACAATTTAGAAAATGTATATTTTGTTTAATAAGTTTAATTTGATAATTCATGTAGGTTTTATTGATGTATATTTTCCACCGTGTATTTACAGTGTTCACGGTGGTCTTGGGCGTTTGCATTACGGCAAATACGTTAATAAACGTTTCGAACCATCAGTCGGATGTCTGCACTTTCATAAACCAGTTAGAAAAAGTTGGGAGAAGCTATATGGGTCCTTTTTAAACATAAACTTAAAGACTTTTTATTGAGAGGTCAGACATGTGGACATTAATAATCTGACTGTCTTGATCTTGTATCTGTGATGTTTTAGTGTGTGATTTGTTCTGTTGTGTACAGTCACTGTGTTTTGTGTAAAAGCCTAACTGGGGACAGGCGTTGATAATTAGCCTTATAGCTAAAATGTTATAGTGTGTGACATGTTTCATGAAACATACTTGTCCCTATCAAATAAACGAATAAATAAATAAAATGTCTGATATCTGAGGCCCAGGGGGCTTCAGCTCTGGGGGGTTGCATTAAATCCTTCGGCTTGTCGTCACACTTACCGGTAGTTACATCTTTTCTTATGCCCCTGACAGAGATAGTTGCTCCTTTTATGGGATTTCCATCAGTATCCTTCACGACTCCCTTAATCCCCCGGTGAACCTGTTCAAAGGAAGAGAGCAATTTAACTCATTGACTGCCAGCCATTTTCAGAACAGAGTCCCATACTGCCTGAGTTTTTTTGAGCATTTTGACTGATTTTTCAAGAGCCACAGAATAGTTTGTGCTATGACTATGTAAACACCGAACACACCAAAAGAAAGAGTAGACTCTCTTCTTTCATCAGAAAAAAAATATGTGTTTCTACCTTATTCCGTTCTTCCTGGACTTGCGTCTCACCGGCGACATGTTCTCTCATAGAACCGTTACCTTTTTCTTATTTGCCTACAGTCTATGCTCATCTCCCATCAAAAGTGGCACTGCCCCCTAGAGGGTCAATTTGTTACTACATACTCTGTCTAGAAGCCTGATATTTACGGACAAGCTTTAGCAGATCGTCCCCCAAGACACTCGTTGAAAAACATAAAAGACGTCTGTAGAAGTCTTTGGCAGCCAATGAGTTAAATATGTACTGTTTGCGAGTTATGACCCATTTTTTACCAACCCGTTCACAGTTTTTAGAATGTCCTTCTTTTAAAAACATCCATCCATCCATCATCCTAACCCCTTATCTCCTAATGGGGTCGGGGGGGGG